CTATAGATAGTACAGCTACTATAGTATTGCAGTAATGTGGGTACTATAGATAGTACAGCTACTATAGTATTGCAGTAATGTGGGTACTATAGACAGTACAGCTACTATAGTATTGCAGTAATGTGGGTACTATAGATAGTACAGCTACTATAGTACTGCAGTAACATGGGTACTATAGATACTAGTACAGATACTATAGTACTGCAGTAATGCGGGTTCTAATGATAGTATATCTGGTCTCAGTGGCTGAGAGGACGGTGCTTCTCAGGCTTCCATCCATCATGGACGCCACCTTCCACCCTCTGCAGCAGACTGAGAGGAGCTGAGCTGCTCCTTTAGTCAGAGACTTTTACAGCCTGTTAGGATAGAGGAGCTACTGCAGGTCATTCATCCTGCTGCTACCAGATTCTACAGTGAGACGCTACAACCGCAATAAATGCAAATGCTAAGTATAATCTAAACATATATACCCAAGTAAACACCCTTTGCAATAACCCTGTATAATAATAATAACCCTGTATAATAATAATAACCCTGTATAATAATAATTACCCTGTATAATAATAATAACCCTGTATAATAATGCGGCTATGAAAAAAAATAGATAAATAAATCAATAAGCTGTCTTATAGGGATGAACTGTATAAACTGTAAATATCCTCTGCACCTTTTCTTTCTTTGGCACCTTCCTCTCTGTATGACTATCTGAGCTGATGGTACGAGTTACGAAATTTCTCCACTGTGAGATCAATTAAGTCAATCAATCAATCAATCAATCAATCAATCAATCAATCAATCAATCAATCAATCAAAACACTGGCTCAGACAACTGGACCAGAGCACTGGACCAGAACACTGGACCAGAGCACTGGACCAGAGCACTGGACCAGAGCACTGGACCAGAGAACTGGACCAGAACACTGGACCAGAATACTGGACCAGAACACTGGACCAGAACACTGGACCAGAGCACTGGACCAGAATACTGGACCAGAGCACTGGACCAGAACACTGGACCAGAACACTGGACCAGAGCACTGGACCAGAACACTGGACCAGAACACTGGACCAGAACACTGGGCCAGAGAACTGGACCAGCCTCATTCCTGTAATATCTGCTCCAACCAGTCAGTGGATAACAGAACATTATTCATCATCCATCCCTGACATTAAGAGATGGATGATGATGTTGATTTCTGTCCTTTTTGTCCCTTAGCTGTTGATTCCCTGCAGTTCTGAACCAGTTCTGGTCCGGTATCAGATATTATCAGAGGTCCGATCATGGCTGCAGGCTGACAGCAGAACCGAGCCAGAACCAGCCCCCTGAGGGCTGCAGTGATTCTGTCCTGCAGCAGCTGCTGCTCCTCCGCTCTCCCTCTGACCCTCTGAGGTCACCCTGACTGTAACTACAGGAGCCTGCAGAGGACACACCATCTGCTGCAGGACAGACCCCTGGAGGGAGGAAGGAGAATGCTTCTGCTGTCTGAGCTTCATCAGAGGGGCTGGGCTGGCTCAGCAGGTTCCTGCAGCTCATCCAGACGCCTCCTCTCCATCATCACACCTCCTCCCTCCATCTTGGCAGGAGGCTGAGGGAGGCTGAGCCCTGAGCTTTGTCTGTCAGGCTGCAGGGGGCTGTTTTCAGCCTGACAGGAACCAGCAGGGAAAGTTTCAGGGTGACCCGCTTCCTGCTGCAGGTTGAGGTTCTGAAAGTTCTGGTAAGGTCGGCACCGATCCGCTACAGTTTTGTCTCTCAGGTTGCAGCAGAACTGACAGAGAATCTAATTCATTTTGGTTTCTAATTTCCTTTTTTCTTCTTCTACTCTGTCCTGTCCTTCATCTCCTTCCCTCCTCTTCCTCTCACCCGGACCAACATGTGACCCGGTCCGATGTCGAACCGGGCCTCAGCGCCTCTTCCATCTCCTGCTGACTCAGAGGATCAAAGGATGACATCAGAGGACTCTGCTCTCTGATTGGCTGGATGACCTGAACACCTGAGGGTTCCCTGGGAGCACAGAGCTGCAGATTCCCAGCTCCCTGAACGCCTCACAGACTGGGATCAATCAGCTAAGTTTGGATGGAGCTGTTCCTGTGATGCTGCAGAACTCCATCAGAACTCCTGACCCGTCCAACAGGCTGGATCCAGAACCCAGTCTGCACTGTCCATGAGGACCGGGTCGGGTTTGGTTCTGAGGCATAAATACATCAGGTTCTGCCTGGTTCTGGCCTGTTGTTCTGTGGCTTCAGGTCCAAACTGTCCTACTAAATCTGGACCCAAGTTCAGAACCAGAACAATTATCATTTCCTTAGAACCCATCAGAACCGCATCATTAAAGGTTTAAATTAGAATTCCTGAGCAGAACATTTACTGAGAACCTAATCAGTTCTGGTTCTGACCCGGTTCAGTTCTGCAGAACTCATTAGAACCCAGTGAACAGTCCAGAAACTGAACCAGGGCAACTTTCCTGCCTGGGTTTATGACAGAACCCTGGACCTGAGGGTTCTGCTCAGGTTCTGACTCACCTGGACCTGGTACATGTTCCTGTCTGCAGCAGCCGGCGGTCCGCTGGGACCCGGTTCTGATGCACAGAACCTCTGGACCTCTGGTCCGGAACCTCTATCCCCCGTTCATCATGCTGTCCTGCTGTGGTTCCGGTCCAGTTACAGTCCCGGTTCCGCTCTGTGTGTCCTGGTCCCGCAGTGGTTCGGATCCGGTTCCGGGTTCGGTTCGCCTCCTCAGCCCCTCTAAGCTCCTCGGTGTCCGAACTTCTTGTCGCTCCGCTCAGCTGGAGGCGGAGATGAAAATAAAGCGAGAGCAGCCGAACATGGCCGATCACTGCCGAGCAGCGCCGAGGGGCCAGACCGCTGCTTCCGGTTGGGTTTCACAATAAAAGCCTCCCTTAGGGCAGCCTGTCGGGCTCCAGTCAGAATACAGGACAACATGGGTTTAACCAGCTGGTTCCGATCAGCTTCTTCTGGTACCGGGTCTGCCAGGTTCTGGTCCAGATAAAACCTAATAAAGTCGACCTTTTAATCCACAGCAGGTTTTATATATGCTGGTTCTGGTTCTCAGTTATTCCATCAGTAGAAAGGTTTGTGCCGCTTTGAACCGATCGGAGCAGCAAAGGACAGAAAATATGAAAAACAAAAAGAAACTGAAGATGAAGCAGCAGGATGAGGATCTGCTGCTTCACCCTTAGACATGGCGCCCTCTGCTGGTGGATTGCTGATCGCCCGTTGGTAGTACAGGGTTGGAGTGAAGCCACCAGCCGCCATATTGGTACTCCCTAGTTAGATAGGTCACAGTGTAAACAATCCGTGCGCTACAGCATCGAACAACGATGATGTTCTGATTTTCAAGGGGACTTAAAACATTTAAACTGAAGATAAATATTCATC